TGACGTCTGTGTCCAAGCTGAGGGGACCCAGGCGTCCAAGAGAGGACCACGTGAGGTCTAGGTGGCCTCCCAACTCTTGGTGGTGCAGGAGCTGGTGGAGAAGGAACCAAAGGGTGGGCCAAGGGGACTTGGGTGGATCGTGGCATCTGGGTTGGGTGCGACCCAGGTGTCCCCTGGTTGGTTGTTCCCCTCCCAAGGTGGATGCCCAGTTGCTGGTGGTGCAGAAGCTGGAGGAGAAGGAGCGGGGCCTCCAGAGCAGCCTGGGGGCGGTGGAGAAGGAGCTGGCCCTGCGCACCCAGGCCCTGGAGCTCAACAAGAGGAAGGTGGGTGGGAGGGGACCCAGCCCTGGGGGAGCCCAGTTTGGGGGTGGTGGGACTGGTTGGGGGGGACCCAAATGTCTGGGGGGGCCCCAAGTTTCTGGGGGGGGCACCGTGTCAACGGGGAGCTCAGGTTAACCCAGTCAATGGGGACCTTGGGTGGGGCTGGAGCACCTTGGGAGGGAGCTGGAGGACCTTGGAAGGAGCTGAGGGACCTTGGGTGGGGCTGGAGCACCTTGGGTGGGAGCTGGAGGACCTTGGGTGGGAGCTGGAGGACCTTGGAAGGAGCTGAGCGACCTTGGGTGGGGCTGGAGCACCTTGGGAGGGAGCTGGAGGACCTTGGAAGGAGCTGAGGGACCTTGGGTGGGGCTGGAGCACCTTGGGTGGGAGCTGGAGGACCTTGGGTGGGAGCTGGAGGACCTTGGAAGGAGCTGAGCGACCTTGGGTGGGGCTGGAGCACCTTGGGAGGGAGCTGGAGGACCTTGGAAGGAGCTGAGGGACCTTGGGTGGGGCTGGAGCACCTTGGGTGGGAGCTGGAGGACCTTGGGTGGGAGCTGGAGGACCTTGGAAGGAGCTGAGCGACCTTGGGTGGGGCTGGAGCACCTTGGGAGGGAGCTGGAGGACCTTGGAAGGAGCTGAGGGACCTTGGGTGGGGCTGGAGCACCTTGGGTGGGAGCTGGAGGACCTTGGGTGGGAGCTGGAGGACCTTGGAAGGAGCTGAGCGACCTTGGGTGGGGCTGGAGCACCTTGGGAGGGAGCTGGAGGACCTTGGAAGGAGCTGAGGGACCTTGGGTGGGGCTGGAGCACCTTGGGTGGGAGCTGGAGGACCTTGGGTGGGAGCTGGAGGACCTTGGAAGGAGCTGAGCGACCTTGGGTGGGGCTGGAGCACCTTGGGAGGGAGCTGGAGGACCTTGGAAGGAGCTGAGGGACCTTGGGTGGGGCTGGAGCACCTTGGGTGGGAGCTGGAGGACCTTGGGTGGGAGCTGGAGGACCTTGGAAGGAGCTGAGCGACCTTGGGTGGGGCTGGAGCACCTTGGGAGGGAGCTGGAGGACCTTGGAAGGAGCTGAGGGACCTTGGGTGGGGCTGGAGCACCTTGGGTGGGAGCTGGAGGACCTTGGGTGGGAGCTGGAGGACCTTGGAAGGAGCTGAGCGACCTTGGGTGGGGCTGGAGCACCTTGGGAGGGAGCTGGAGGACCTTGGAAGGAGCTGAGGGACCTTGGGTGGGGCTGGAGCACCTTGGGTGGGAGCTGGAGGACCTTGGGTGGGAGCTGGAGGACCTTGGAAGGAGCTGAGCGACCTTGGGTGGGGCTGGAGCACCTTGGGAGGGAGCTGGAGGACCTTGGAAGGAGCTGAGGGACCTTGGGTGGGGCTGGAGCACCTTGGGTGGGAGCTGGAGGACCTTGGGTGGGAGCTGGAGGACCTTGGAAGGAGCTGAGCGACCTTGGGTGGGGCTGGAGCACCTTGGGAGGGAGCTGGAGGACCTTGGAAGGAGCTGAGGGACCTTGGGTGGGGCTGGAGCACCTTGGGTGGGAGCTGGAGGACCTTGGGTGGGAGCTGGAGGACCTTGGAAGGAGCTGAGCGACCTTGGGTGGGGCTGGAGCACCTTGGGAGGGAGCTGGAGGACCTTGGAAGGAGCTGAGGGACCTTGGGTGGGGCTGGAGCACCTTGGGTGGGAGCTGGAGGACCTTGGGTGGGAGCTGGAGGACCTTGGAAGGAGCTGAGCGACCTTGGGTGGGGCTGGAGCACCTTGGGAGGGAGCTGGAGGACCTTGGAAGGAGCTGAGGGACCTTGGGTGGGGCTGGAGCACCTTGGGTGGGAGCTGGAGGACCTTGGGTGGGAGCTGGAGGACCTTGGAAGGAGCTGAGCGACCTTGGGTGGGGCTGGAGCACCTTGGGAGGGAGCTGGAGGACCTTGGAAGGAGCTGAGGGACCTTGGGTGGGGCTGGAGCACCTTGGGTGGGAGCTGGAGGACCTTGGGTGGGAGCTGGAGGACCTTGGAAGGAGCTGAGCGACCTTGGGTGGGGCTGGAGCACCTTGGGAGGGAGCTGGAGGACCTTGGAAGGAGCTGAGGGACCTTGGGTGGGGCTGGAGCACCTTGGGTGGGAGCTGGAGGACCTTGGGTGGGAGCTGGAGGACCTTGGAAGGAGCTGAGCGACCTTGGGTGGGGCTGGAGCACCTTGGGAGGGAGCTGGAGGACCTTGGAAGGAGCTGAGGGACCTTGGGTGGGGCTGGAGCACCTTGGGTGGGAGCTGGAGGACCTTGGGTGGGAGCTGGAGGACCTTGGAAGGAGCTGAGCGACCTTGGGTGGGGCTGGAGCACCTTGGGAGGGAGCTGGAGGACCTTGGAAGGAGCTGAGGGACCTTGGGTGGGGCTGGAGCACCTTGGGTGGGAGCTGGAGGACCTTGGGTGGGAGCTGGAGGACCTTGGAAGGAGCTGAGCGACCTTGGGTGGGGCTGGAGCACCTTGGGAGGGAGCTGGAGGACCTTGGAAGGAGCTGAGGGACCTTGGGTGGGGCTGGAGCACCTTGGGTGGGAGCTGGAGGACCTTGGGTGGGAGCTGGAGGACCTTGGAAGGAGCTGAGCGACCTTGGGTGGGGCTGGAGCACCTTGGGAGGGAGCTGGAGGACCTTGGAAGGAGCTGAGGGACCTTGGGTGGGGCTGGAGCACCTTGGGTGGGAGCTGGAGGACCTTGGGTGGGAGCTGGAGGACCTTGGAAGGAGCTGAGCGACCTTGGGTGGGGCTGGAGCACCTTGGGAGGGAGCTGGAGGACCTTGGAAGGAGCTGAGGGACCTTGGGTGGGGCTGGAGCACCTTGGGTGGGAGCTGGAGGACCTTGGGTGGGAGCTGGAGGACCTTGGAAGGAGCTGAGCGACCTTGGGTGGGGCTGGAGCACCTTGGGAGGGAGCTGGAGGACCTTGGAAGGAGCTGAGGGACCTTGGGTGGGGCTGGAGCACCTTGGGTGGGAGCTGGAGGACCTTGGGTGGGAGCTGGAGGACCTTGGAAGGAGCTGAGCGACCTTGGGTGGGGCTGGAGCACCTTGGGAGGGAGCTGGAGGACCTTGGAAGGAGCTGAGGGACCTTGGGTGGGGCTGGAGCACCTTGGGTGGGAGCTGGAGGACCTTGGGTGGGAGCTGGAGGACCTTGGAAGGAGCTGAGCGACCTTGGGTGGGGCTGGAGCACCTTGGGAGGGAGCTGGAGGACCTTGGAAGGAGCTGAGGGACCTTGGGTGGGGCTGGAGCACCTTGGGTGGGAGCTGGAGGACCTTGGGTGGGAGCTGGAGGACCTTGGAAGGAGCTGAGCGACCTTGGGTGGGGCTGGAGCACCTTGGGAGGGAGCTGGAGGACCTTGGAAGGAGCTGAGGGACCTTGGGTGGGGCTGGAGCACCTTGGGTGGGAGCTGGAGGACCTTGGGTGGGAGCTGGAGGACCTTGGAAGGAGCTGAGCGACCTTGGGTGGGGCTGGAGCACCTTGGGAGGGAGCTGGAGGACCTTGGAAGGAGCTGAGGGACCTTGGGTGGGGCTGGAGCACCTTGGGTGGGAGCTGGAGGACCTTGGGTGGGAGCTGGAGGACCTTGGAAGGAGCTGAGCGACCTTGGGTGGGGCTGGAGCACCTTGGGAGGGAGCTGGAGGACCTTGGAAGGAGCTGAGGGACCTTGGGTGGGGCTGGAGCACCTTGGGTGGGAGCTGGAGGACCTTGGGTGGGAGCTGGAGGACCTTGGAAGGAGCTGAGCGACCTTGGGTGGGGCTGGAGCACCTTGGGAGGGAGCTGGAGGACCTTGGAAGGAGCTGAGGGACCTTGGGTGGGGCTGGAGCACCTTGGGTGGGAGCTGGAGGACCTTGGGTGGGAGCTGGAGGACCTTGGAAGGAGCTGAGCGACCTTGGGTGGGGCTGGAGCACCTTGGGAGGGAGCTGGAGGACCTTGGAAGGAGCTGAGGGACCTTGGGTGGGGCTGGAGCACCTTGGGTGGGAGCTGGAGGACCTTGGGTGGGAGCTGGAGGACCTTGGAAGGAGCTGAGCGACCTTGGGTGGGGCTGGAGCACCTTGGGAGGGAGCTGGAGGACCTTGGAAGGAGCTGAGGGACCTTGGGTGGGGCTGGAGCACCTTGGGTGGGAGCTGGAGGACCTTGGGTGGGAGCTGGAGGACCTTGGAAGGAGCTGAGCGACCTTGGGTGGGGCTGGAGCACCTTGGGAGGGAGCTGGAGGACCTTGGAAGGAGCTGAGGGACCTTGGGTGGGGCTGGAGCACCTTGGGTGGGAGCTGGAGGACCTTGGGTGGGAGCTGGAGGACCTTGGAAGGAGCTGAGCGACCTTGGGTGGGGCTGGAGCACCTTGGGAGGGAGCTGGAGGACCTTGGAAGGAGCTGAGGGACCTTGGGTGGGGCTGGAGCACCTTGGGTGGGAGCTGGAGGACCTTGGGTGGGAGCTGGAGGACCTTGGAAGGAGCTGAGCGACCTTGGGTGGGGCTGGAGCACCTTGGGAGGGAGCTGGAGGACCTTGGAAGGAGCTGAGGGACCTTGGGTGGGGCTGGAGCACCTTGGGTGGGAGCTGGAGGACCTTGGGTGGGAGCTGGAGGACCTTGGAAGGAGCTGAGCGACCTTGGGTGGGGCTGGAGCACCTTGGGAGGGAGCTGGAGGACCTTGGAAGGAGCTGAGGGACCTTGGGTGGGGCTGGAGCACCTTGGGTGGGAGCTGGAGGACCTTGGGTGGGAGCTGGAGGACCTTGGAAGGAGCTGAGCGACCTTGGGTGGGGCTGGAGCACCTTGGGAGGGAGCTGGAGGACCTTGGAAGGAGCTGAGGGACCTTGGGTGGGGCTGGAGCACCTTGGGTGGGAGCTGGAGGACCTTGGGTGGGAGCTGGAGGACCTTGGAAGGAGCTGAGCGACCTTGGGTGGGGCTGGAGCACCTTGGGAGGGAGCTGGAGGACCTTGGAAGGAGCTGAGGGACCTTGGGTGGGGCTGGAGCACCTTGGGTGGGAGCTGGAGGACCTTGGGTGGGAGCTGGAGGACCTTGGAAGGAGCTGAGCGACCTTGGGTGGGGCTGGAGCACCTTGGGAGGGAGCTGGAGGACCTTGGAAGGAGCTGAGGGACCTTGGGTGGGGCTGGAGCACCTTGGGTGGGAGCTGGAGGACCTTGGGTGGGAGCTGGAGGACCTTGGAAGGAGCTGAGCGACCTTGGGTGGGGCTGGAGCACCTTGGGAGGGAGCTGGAGGACCTTGGAAGGAGCTGAGGGACCTTGGGTGGGGCTGGAGCACCTTGGGTGGGAGCTGGAGGACCTTGGGTGGGAGCTGGAGGACCTTGGAAGGAGCTGAGCGACCTTGGGTGGGGCTGGAGCACCTTGGGAGGGAGCTGGAGGACCTTGGAAGGAGCTGAGGGACCTTGGGTGGGGCTGGAGCACCTTGGGTGGGAGCTGGAGGACCTTGGGTGGGAGCTGGAGGACCTTGGAAGGAGCTGAGCGACCTTGGGTGGGGCTGGAGCACCTTGGGAGGGAGCTGGAGGACCTTGGAAGGAGCTGAGGGACCTTGGGTGGGGCTGGAGCACCTTGGGTGGGAGCTGGAGGACCTTGGGTGGGAGCTGGAGGACCTTGGAAGGAGCTGAGCGACCTTGGGTGGGGCTGGAGCACCTTGGGAGGGAGCTGGAGGACCTTGGAAGGAGCTGAGGGACCTTGGGTGGGGCTGGAGCACCTTGGGTGGGAGCTGGAGGACCTTGGGTGGGAGCTGGAGGACCTTGGAAGGAGCTGAGCGACCTTGGGTGGGGCTGGAGCACCTTGGGAGGGAGCTGGAGGACCTTGGAAGGAGCTGAGGGACCTTGGGTGGGGCTGGAGCACCTTGGGTGGGAGCTGGAGGACCTTGGGTGGGAGCTGGAGGACCTTGGAAGGAGCTGAGCGACCTTGGGTGGGGCTGGAGCACCTTGGGAGGGAGCTGGAGGACCTTGGAAGGAGCTGAGGGACCTTGGGTGGGGCTGGAGCACCTTGGGTGGGAGCTGGAGGACCTTGGGTGGGAGCTGGAGGACCTTGGAAGGAGCTGAGCGACCTTGGGTGGGGCTGGAGCACCTTGGGAGGGAGCTGGAGGACCTTGGAAGGAGCTGAGGGACCTTGGGTGGGGCTGGAGCACCTTGGGTGGGAGCTGGAGGACCTTGGGTGGGAGCTGGAGGACCTTGGAAGGAGCTGAGCGACCTTGGGTGGGGCTGGAGCACCTTGGGAGGGAGCTGGAGGACCTTGGAAGGAGCTGAGGGACCTTGGGTGGGGCTGGAGCACCTTGGGTGGGAGCTGGAGGACCTTGGGTGGGAGCTGGAGGACCTTGGAAGGAGCTGAGCGACCTTGGGTGGGGCTGGAGCACCTTGGGAGGGAGCTGGAGGACCTTGGAAGGAGCTGAGGGACCTTGGGTGGGGCTGGAGCACCTTGGGTGGGAGCTGGAGGACCTTGGGTGGGAGCTGGAGGACCTTGGAAGGAGCTGAGCGACCTTGGGTGGGGCTGGAGCACCTTGGGAGGGAGCTGGAGGACCTTGGAAGGAGCTGAGGGACCTTGGGTGGGGCTGGAGCACCTTGGGTGGGAGCTGGAGGACCTTGGGTGGGAGCTGGAGGACCTTGGAAGGAGCTGAGCGACCTTGGGTGGGGCTGGAGCACCTTGGGAGGGAGCTGGAGGACCTTGGAAGGAGCTGAGGGACCTTGGGTGGGGCTGGAGCACCTTGGGTGGGAGCTGGAGGACCTTGGGTGGGAGCTGGAGGACCTTGGAAGGAGCTGAGCGACCTTGGGTGGGGCTGGAGCACCTTGGGAGGGAGCTGGAGGACCTTGGAAGGAGCTGAGGGACCTTGGGTGGGGCTGGAGCACCTTGGGTGGGAGCTGGAGGACCTTGGGTGGGAGCTGGAGGACCTTGGAAGGAGCTGAGCGACCTTGGGTGGGGCTGGAGCACCTTGGGAGGGAGCTGGAGGACCTTGGAAGGAGCTGAGGGACCTTGGGTGGGGCTGGAGCACCTTGGGTGGGAGCTGGAGGACCTTGGGTGGGAGCTGGAGGACCTTGGAAGGAGCTGAGCGACCTTGGGTGGGGCTGGAGCACCTTGGGAGGGAGCTGGAGGACCTTGGAAGGAGCTGAGGGACCTTGGGTGGGGCTGGAGCACCTTGGGTGGGAGCTGGAGGACCTTGGGTGGGAGCTGGAGGACCTTGGAAGGAGCTGAGCGACCTTGGGTGGGGCTGGAGCACCTTGGGAGGGAGCTGGAGGACCTTGGAAGGAGCTGAGGGACCTTGGGTGGGGGATGGAGCACCTTGTGGTGCAGCTGGAGGACCTTGGAAGGAGCTGAGGGACCTTGGGTGGGGGATGGAGCACCTTGTGGTGCAGCTGGAGGACCTTGGAAGGAGCTGAGGGACCTTGGGTGGGGGATGGAGCACCTTGTGGTGCAGCTGGAGGACCTTGGAAGGAGCTGAGGGACCTTGGGTGGGGGATGGAGCACCTTGTGGTGCAGCTGGAGGACCTTGGAAGGAGCTGAGGGACCTTGGGTGGGGGATGGAGCACCTTGGGTGGGAGCTGGAGGACCTTGGAAGGAGCTGAGCGACCTTGGGTGGGGCTGGAGCACCTTGGGAGGGAGCTGGAGGACCTTGGAAGGAGCTGAGGGACCTTGGGTGGGGCTGGAGCACGTTGGGTGGGGGCTGGAGCACGTTGGGTGGGGGCTGGAGGACCTTGTGGTGCATCTGGAGGCCTTTAGATGAGGTTGGAGAATTTTTAAGTGGGGGCTGGAGGACCTTGGGGAGGGTTGGAGGGTTTCAGATGTGAGTTGGAGAGCCTTGGGTGGGTGCTGGAGGACCTTGGAAGGAGCTGAGGGACCTTGGGTGGGGCTGGAGCACGTTGGGTGGGGGCTGGAGCACGTTGGGTGGGGGCTGGAGGACCTTGTGGTGCATCTGGAGGACCTTAGGTGGGGTTGGAGAATTTTGAAGTGGGGGCTGGAGGACCTTGGGTAGGGTTGGAGGTTTTTAGATGTGAGTTGGAGAACTTTGGGTGGGAGCTGGAGGACCTGGGAAGGAGCTGTGGGGCCTTGGGTGGGGCTGGAGGACCTTGTGGTGCATCTGGAGGACCTTGGGTAGGGTTGGATGTCTTTAGATGGGAGGTGGAGAACTTTGGGTGGGTGCTGGAGGACCTTGGAAGGAGCTGAGGGACCTTGGGTGGGGCTGGAGCACCTTGGGAGGGAGCTGGAGGACCTTGGAAGGAGCTGAGGGACCTTGGGTGGGGGCTGGAGGACCTTGTGGTGCATCTGGAGGACCTTGGGTAAGGTTGGAGAATTTTTAAGTGGGTGCTGGAGGACCTTGGAAGGAGCTGAGGGACCTTGGGTGGGGGCTGGAGGACCTTGTGGTGCATCTGGAGGACCTTGGGTAAGGTTGGAGAATTTTTAAGTGGGTGCTGGAGGACCTTGGAAGGAGCTGAGGGACCTTGGGTGGGGGCTGGAGGACCTTGTGGTGCATCTGGAGGACCTTGGGTAGGGTTGGATGTCTTTAGATGGCAGTTGGAGAACTTTGGGTGGGTGCTGGAGGACCTTGGGTGAGGTTGGAGCACCCATGGGTGCCCCCGTGGGGCTGACAGCTCTCTTGCCCCACCGTTTTTGTTGCCTCTCCACCATCTTCTGTAGGCTTGGAGGACCAGGGGTTGGGTTTGGAAGACCAGGAATGGGTTTGGAAGACCAGGGATGGGTTTGGAGGACCTCAGGGTGGGCTTAGAAGACCACGGGTGGGTCTGGACCACCCATGGGTGCTCTGCCATGGGGCTGATGGCCATCTTGCCCCCCCCCAGGCCCGCCTGACCTGCCCTTGCTGCAACGCCCGCAAGAAGGACGCCGTCCTCACCAAGTGCTTCCACGTCTTCTGCTTTGAGTGCGTCAAGAGCCGCTACGACACCCGCCAGCGCAAGTGCCCCAAGTGCAACGCGGCCTTCGGGGCCCATGACTTCCACCGCGTCTACATCAGCTGAGCCCCACGGCCGCCCCACGGCACCCACCGGTGGCCCATGGTCAACCACAGGTCTTGGAGGTGGGTCTCCATCACCTTGGAGGACCATGGTTTGCTTAGTGTTTCTGTTCGTTGAACCCCGTTGCAATCCTCAGCCAGCCATGGGTGCCCTACAAGACCTATGGGTGCCACATAATGACCCACAGCACCCAGGGGTGCCCTGTGGTCAACCACAGGTGCTCCTCAGCCAACTGTGGGTCTTGGAGGTGGGTCTACACCACCTTGGAGGACCATGGTTGGCTTTGTGTTTGTGTTTGTTGAACCCTATTGTGATCCTTGGCCACCCATGGGTGCCCTACAAGACCTGGGGATGCCCCATAGCACCCCACGTCACCCACAGGTGGCCCATGGTCAACCACAGGTCTTGGAGGTGGGTCTACACCACCTTGGAGGACCATGGTTTGCTTAAGTGTTTGTGTTCGTTGAACCCCGTTGTGATCCTTGGCCACCCATGGGTGCCCTACAAGACCTATGGGTGCCACATGATGACCCACAGCACCCAGGGGTGCCCTGTGGTCAACCACAGGTGCTCCCCAGCCAACTGTGGGTCTTGGAGGTGGGTCTACACCACCTTGGAGGACCATGGTTTGCTTAGTGTTTCTGTTCGTTGAACCCCGTTGTGATCCTCAGCCACCCATGGGTGCCCCACAAGACCTGGGGATGCCCCATAGCACCCCACATCACCCACAGGTGGCCCATGGTCAACCACAGGTCTTGGAGGTGGGTCTACACCACCTTAGAGGACCGTGGTTTGCTTTGTGTTTGTGTTCATTGAACCCCGTTGTGATCCTTGGCCACCCATGGGTGCCCTACAAGACCTATGGGTGCCCTAGAAGACCTAAGGGTGCCACATAATGACCCACAGCACCCAGGGGTGCCCTGTGGTCAACCACAGGTGCTCCTCAGCCAACTGTGGGTCTTGGAGGTGGGTCTACACCACCTTGGAGGACCGTGGTTGGCTTTGTGTTTGTTCGTTGAACCCCGTTGTGATCCTCAGCCACCCATGGGTGCCCTACAAGACCTGGGGATGCCCCATAGCACCCCACATCACCCACAGGTGGCCCATGGTCAACCACAAGTCTTGGAGGTGGGTCTACACCACCTTGGAGGACCATGGTTTGCTTAAGTGTTTGTGTTCGTTGAACCCCGTTGTGATCCTTGGCCACCC